CTATTGAAAATTCTCTTAGGAGGTGTTTTTCTGAGACTTTTGTAGGTACAACCTCACGTATAGCATGTTCAGTAGATACTGCCTGCAAACCAGGCCTGACATTGTCTTGGCCTTCTCTGGAAAAATCTCAGAATATTGAGTTTTGATTGCCTACATTTTCCATTTGAAGTGAAACAGAACTTCCAGCCTGACATCTCCTCAGAATAGAGTGGGATTTATTAACAAGGGCAAGGCTGTGTTTTTATTATAATTTCACTGATCACCTTCAGAAAGCCTGGTGAGACGCATCAGGACTAATTGTACTTGGGATTCCTTTGTTCTTCTCAGCTTACCTGGAAGTTCTGGGATGGGTTCTGCTTCTTTGTTTTCTTATCTGTAGTAAAGAACCATATCCATTTGATGAAGGTGTTGGTCAATAGAATGTATGGTCTTAACTTTGCTGGCAAAAATGTGGTGAATGACTTACTTTTTCTTTAAAGTTGTATAACCCTCTCGTTTAGAGATGTCCTAGTTAAGGTACTTAAGGTCACTTGTTTTAGGGGAATTGGGAAAGTAGAAAGAATTTCAACTGTAAAGGTATACTAACTCTTTTCTCACACGAATGACTGAAGCAAATGAGAAGGGTGTAAGATTTATGATGCCAATACCAGCTGAGCCAACATGAATTGCAAAAACAAAATGTTGTGTAAAATGGTATAACTCAGGAACAAATTCAGGCCCCAGAAATGTACAGAAAGAAAAAGTCTGAATACTTTGTCAACATGCAGCATTATTTGCATGGCACAACATTTAGGGTAATTATTGAAAAGGGGGTTTGCTCTCTGAGCAGCTGTGAGCTCAGTTCATTTCAATGACCACTGCAGGCACAAAACCTTGCTAGTCTTTTTTAGTTTGTAAACAGCCAGAAGAACTGGAACATCTAATTTTTGAAATCCTTCTGGCTTTTCTTTTTGACCTTTGGTATTTGTATGTATTGACGATCTCTAAACCATAGCACAAAAACACCTTGAAGTGTCAAGCTTTAAAAATGAGTCTTTTTTTCTCTTTCTCCTGTGCAGCTTGGATTATCTTGGCCTTGTCAAAATACATTCTCTAGTTAGAGGGTGGAAATATTTCCCTCCTGGCTCCAAAGTATTGATTTTCTTCAACATTCAGCTCTGTCAGTGAGGCGAAGGGGTGAAAGGTGAAAGTTCACCCAGCACCGCTTGGCTTTACCTTCCTATTAATGTCATGCCCTTTCCACATGTGATGAGTTTATGTGATCACCAATCACACAGACCTGTTACTGCTCTTATTTTCCTATAAGGATATGTTTAAAGTCGTCAGTATGTACTTAAACGGTTTCGAGGGCCAACCAACTCCGGGCATTTCGTAGGGCCAAAGATGTTGCTACCAATTCCTAGAATGTTCACTTAATTCTTAGAAGATTATGCTGTTACACGGACTTCAGTTCAAGTGTACTGTATTATTCTCAGAAAACATTGAAGTGAAAGCATACTTGTGACTTACATGTAATAGTCTCTGAGCAACGAGGTCCTATTTTGTCATTCTTCCTTTGTTTTGAAAGCCAATGATAAAATTTGACCTTCGGGATTCTAATTCAACCCCAAACTGAGTATTAAATGGAATGAATTTAATGATCTCAGCTCAGCTTTCATAAGGCAACCAACTCATGTCACCAGGTCTGACAAGATATAATTTTATACAATCAACAGGCTATTTAGGAGCAACGTAGGGTGGAGAAAAGGCAATATGCATGCAATTTTCCTACCCAAGCCACAGGGGGTGCTATTGAACTTCTCACTATTGGTTTTCTCACTCTTCTGCATGGGGCAATACTTCCTTTACCATTCTACTGCTTTTAATTTTTGAGAGTAAGCTTGCCTTTTCTGAAGCTGGTACCTCAGGGAAGTTAGCAATTAAAAGCAGAAGAGAAGCTGAGTGCCAATGGCTCACACCTGTAATCCTAGCTATTCAGGTGGCTGAGATCTGAGGATTGCAGTTCAAGGCCAGCGTGGGCAGGAAAGTCTGTGAGACTCTAATCTCTAATCGACCACCAGAAAACCAGAAGTGGTGCTGTGGCTCAAATGGTAGAGTGCTTGCCTTGAGCTGAAGAGCTCAGGGACAGCACCTAGGCCTAGAGTTCAAGCCCCATGACTGACCAAAACCGCCCCCCCTCCAAAAAAAACCAACAACCAAACCCAAACAAAAAAACCCCAGAAGAGTAAGGTAAGTATATGTATGTCAACTGAGAATGTTTAAGAAGAGTGGCCATTGATCTAGTGCCAGTGGCTCATACCTGTAACCTTAGTTCCACAGTAGCTGAGACCGAAGGATTGTGGTTTGAAGCCAGACCAGACAGAAAAGCCCATGAGAATCTATCTCCAAATGAATCAGCTGAAAGCTATGCTGTAGGCATGGCTCAGGTGTTGGAGTGAGTAAGCCCAGTGAGCACAAGGCCTTGAGTTCAAACCCTGGTAACCAGAAGAGTACACACTGGGAAAAAGTAATAGTACAGGAAAACATTCATCAGTACAATTCAGTTTTATTTAACACACATATGTACACAGGGACATTCAGCACGTGTAGAATCTATCAAGTGGAGGAGTCATATCCAGCAATGTCTTGGGAGGCAGACATTTTAATTCACTGGCTATGCACAGTGAGTTCAATCATTACAAGGTTTTCATACAGGTGTCAAGTCATGTCATCATTTGCTTGTAAATTACCAATGAAGCCATATATGTTTCTACATTTACAAGGATGGGCTCAAATGCAGTGCCAACAAAATCAATAAAACACTGAACACATACACTGGGATGACAATACAAAGTTTAGTCAGGGCTGAGAATTCAAGCTGGGGTAAAATTTGGGAATGTGGCTGTCAGAATGGCCAAGGACAGTATCACATAGCAAGAACTGAAATTTGAGTTTAGTAGAGATGCCTAGCCACCAAGTTTCATGTCGCCCATAGAATCTGGCAGTCTGTGGACTAGGACACGGGCTCTCACCCACCTGCAGGGCTGCGCCCCCAGCCCTCACAGCTTCATGCTCAACCTCTACGGAGGATCCATCTGCACACTCATGGTAGCCTACCTACTGGTCCCACACCTCCAGCCTGATGCACAGGACATTCTGTGAAAACAAACAAACCTCCTATGGTGTAGGTGTAACCTCATCATTCCAAACAGTTTTAAAGTCTAGGATAAATTCATTTCTATTTAAATTCATAAAATAAATGTGCGCTGGGTATAGAGCAGGCTCAGAAGCCAACTGGGAAAGCAAAGTGCAAATTTTAGTTTACTTCATATTTCTCTATCTATACCGACACAACAGCATGTCCACCAAATGTCTACATGAGTAGTTCTTATTTGTGTATATTTTCCTGGAAACGACATATATAATCATTATAAATACAATGTACATGCATGTGGGCATAAATTCACCTTTGAAACAACATCTGTCTAAAACCAAGGAATAGTATAGCGTTGCCATCAATGGAAGTAACTTTTCACATCAGGATGAAGGTGATATTCTTGGGAGTGGGGTCTTGACTTCTTCATATGCTCTTTAAAATGTTTTCAGTAACACACAGACACATTTGTTCCTGGATCTAGTGCCTACATTTCTGTGTATTATATAAACTCTGACCATCTATTTTTTAAAAATTAAGCACTTCCATTATAGTTTTGGTTCCTTTGAAATTTTGCATATTGTTCTCTGAACTGAATAAATCATTTTTACTTTTGTATTTAATAAACCATTTTGCTCAATTAATCGGTCAACAAGAAACCAACAAACCAAAGTAATCTAACTATACATAGATCCAAGTTTGTTAGGAGCAATTTATACATAAAATATCTTACAGGTTTTATTTCTATTATATAAGACCAGCATAATTTCACATAGGAGGAAGTGATCTAGTGAAAGCATACTTAGAAGCATGATGAACAACTTTATGTTAATGCCACTGAAATACATCAACAGCCCTCACATTTTATATACACACAGAACAAAGTACCATAGTCATTTGTTTTCTAAGATATTTATTTAAAAGAAATGCCTTTCTAGTTTTCCTTTAACTGACTAGCAGTTGGAAGGCTGGCTTGTAGTCATCCTGGATAACTGGCCTATGTCGCGTATGTGAGAACTTCCGGTTGCAAAGGTCCTGGAAGGAGGAAGGAAAACTTTCCTCACCGGAGGGTCTACAGCAACACAGGAAGGCCTTCATTGTAGATGTATGCTATGCTTCCGCTTTCGCACAAAAGTGCCTCTCAGAGATTGTATAGCGACTGGGTAACTGTGTTAGTTAGATCATAAGTAGTGGTTATATTTATGGTAAACTACTGAATATACTAGTCTCTTTTAGCAGGAAATGAGCAGTTTATAAGATGTGGTGTCTGGAAAACTGTATTTGTTTCTATAAGGAAAAAAATATGTATTCTAATATTTCCTCCGTCTCAAATCAGCTAGCTGTTAGTAAAGAAGGTAGTGGCAAAAATCCTAGGAAGTGGAATTAGTTCCTAGCAATCACTGGAGGAAAACCCACCCTGTAAACAGCGTCTGTCTGGTAAACAGCAGTGTGCTTGGGGGAGAGGCCCGGAGGAAGTGATCTCAGTGAGGGTGCGCCTCGCCCGCCCGGGTCCCGCGGCCCCTGGAGCCGGGCTTGGAGGGCTGGAGACGCTGATTGGGTCTGGGAGCGCAATCACAGTGGATATTGATTTTCAGGCTTCGGTTGCGCCCAGCAACAAGAACGTCCCCAGGAATGGCTGCCTCTCCCTCCCCTCTACCCGGGGACAGAATGGCCCGGTCTCGTCCAGCAGTGCGTGGATGGACGGGTGTGTGTGTGTGTGTGTGTGTGTGTGTGTGTGTGTGTGTGTGTGTGTGTGTGTGTGTGTGTGTGTGTGTGTGTGTGTGTGTGTGTGTGTGTGTGTGAGCAGTGCGTGGATGGACGGGTGTGTGTGTGTGTGTGTGTGTGTGTGTGTGTGTGTGTGCAGAAGTCGATCCCCAAGAAGCATGCACAGGTGAGCAGCCCCGGCCCGGCCCGGCCCGGCCCGGCCCGGAGGGGGGCGGCAGGCCGGGGCCCAGGGAAGGAACTAGACCATGAAGCGGTGCTCCTTGCCGTCGTGGGCCATGAGGATGACGTTGCGGTTGGAGGTCCAGATGAGCCGGGCAAGTCGGAGCGCGTTGTGCGAGCCGGGGGACGCGGGCTGCACGGGCGGCACCTGGTAGGTTTTGATGCAGCGCAGCTGCGGGGCCGAGTTCAGCATGCCGATGCTTCCCAGGAGCGACGTGTTCATCTGGAGGGACAGGGGCGGGGCGCAAGCCGTCACCGCGGGGCCCTGCCCGCCCTGCCTGGGGGGACCCGCCCTGCCCGCCCTGCCCGGGGACCCGCCCTGCCCGGGGACCCCACACGCCTGGCCCTGGCAGTTCCCATGCACACCCAGCCAGAGGCAGAAGCTGACTGAAGGAGGGCCTAACTGATCCCGAGGAAAGGGGCTAATCAAACAGCTCCATCAGACCACGTTTGGACCATTCTGACTGTATTTCCTAAAGAACGGGTCCGTGAAGACCGGGTCTAGAATTTAGAATTTGCTCCGAAGAATGAAGGACAGTGAAGCTGCTGACAGAGTGATAAGTCACCTGGACCCAAGACCTCTTCCCGTCCCCACCCCAGGCTCTGGGGAGCACTCCCTGACACAGGACCTCGCTTGCCTTCGTGCTTCGCTGTCCTGCTAGAGTATTCTCTCCATGTTTTATCATCGTAACTTTTAATCAGGTAGTGGTATTTGGAGTTGTTTTGAGCACTTTTTCTGGATTTGGAATTTCTTAGTACATCCACACCCACTCTACATAACATGGAAATTACGAATCACGAACCACTAGACATTCAGGTCAAAGTGCTAAATATCAAACAGCAGTTATCTAAGCGAATGGTTCTCCGAGCAACTGAGTCTGAAGGCTTCTTTAGATTCTAAATATCACTTCAAATGTTTTCAGATGCAGCATTTCAAATGCATCACTTGTGCTACTGTAAAATCACATGGAAAGCATACTGACAGGAAAGAAGCCTCAAAATAATTTGTTTTCTTTGCACTAATTTTCATTTCTAATCATCCTCTAGCACAGAGCCTCCACCTGCAGGGGCGAGACACCAGGGCGTAGGTAAAGCCTGCAGCCTGTGACCCATCGCACACAGGAGGTTGATTCAGGAGACCCTGGCAGATCTTAGGACACTTCGGATGTGTGATTGCCCCTATCACGCTTTGCATTTGGATCAGTGAGAAGTATAAGCCATTCCTTTTTTCCGGCTTCTCAGTAGCAGGATGGTGTCAGAGGGCGTAAATCATGGTATCTCTAGCAGAGTGCGTGTAGGCTCCACTGACATTTTCACAATTTAAATCATCTTGAGTAATAACCCTTTTAAGATGACTAATGTTACTGATTTTCCTGCATTAATAATAGTGCCGAACACAACACAGAGGTGAAAAAAATCACTAGTGTACGAGGTCACATTTTAAAACCAAATGTATGGTTATTGTTAACTCTTTCTGCTAAAGTTGTGTTCACATTTAAAGCCAGGCGGTGCCTTATTGTCAACCTTCCAAAGCCTCTGTCCTTTCTTCCTTCCTTTTTCTATGAAAACCCCACAAAAGACAAAAATCTCAATGTCTTACTACTTTCTGGAGGTTCCCAAAGAGTTTAAATCTAAATAAAAATGGTGAGCTTGATTTCTTAGTTCTCATTTCCATAAAAAAAGCAACAATATAACACACTCAAATGATTCAGAAAACTGCCTTCTAAAATCAACTGGCATCAACAGGCTTATTCTGCTTGAAAGCAACCACCACCACCACCAGTTTCTCAGTTGATAAACAGCTACAAAACTATTTTTCAGGCTTTATGGATGTCCTATGAAAGTATGTCTGAGGTTTTATTTCTGCCGATGGCTTGAGATGCAAGGGGCACTAAACATGCACAGATAATAACGTCTCCATTTTTAATTCATTCCTTGATATTCAACCACATACAAGACATGCATTGAAGGTTCAAGGGGAGAAGAAAGTATGTAAAAGAAATGGCATAGAGAGAATGAGGAAAGGAGAAAGCCATTCTTATAGTTAGGTTCCCCTCATTGCTGAGTCTCACCCTACTTTGATCAATGTTGTCAGTAAGCCCTCGGCCTTACTGCCTCAGAATAGAACCCTGGAATTCTTGGTGGGTACACACTGTTATAGTTTCTTATAGTTCAATCAAGAGACCCTTAAGTTCATTAAACTTCATTATTTCTCACACTATACCATCATATTGACCTCCTCAAATGAGGACTGGATCTGGAATAGTAAAGTTGGCCTTTATTTTCCCAATTAGCTCAGCCAAGAAGTTGACCATTCTGTTATTCAACATTAATTTTTTCCCAGTTAGTGACTGACTACAAACTACGCTAAGACAAGAACAATGTAAGTCTTGAATGAATGAAAACGACATGAAATTATCAGATTTTTAAATATTAAGTTTTTTCTTGACTGCAAAGATTATGTTGTGAAAATTCAAATAATAGAAGTACAAAAAGAAAGCAAAAATGTCCTAAAAATCTCATTTACTAAAGGCAATTATTGTTACTAGTTTGATAAACAATCTTCCAAACATTAGGCATATATATGTAAGATACACACACACACACACACACACACACACACACACAGAAAAACAGATTTAAGGAATTTTCCATAAGCAGTCTCCTATTGAATAGTAGTTTTGTAATCTGCTTTTTTACTTAACAAAACATTGAGGGAAATCTTTATGGCTAATGATTCTATTTTAAATGCCCAAATACTATTCTGTTATACATGGAGTGAATAAAAGGCAATGAAACCAGCATCTATCTAACTTACTCTGATTTCTGAAAGGGGTTATTTGTTTGTTGAATGGTGTTGGTCAAATTTAGGTGAATTACAAATGTATTTGATTACCAAACATTACTTGCTTAAATACCAACAGATACACTGAAGTGAAATAGTCAGATTGTAGAAATAGGATGTTAATGAATCAGATGGTTTGACAGATTGCCAAATTATATTGTTCAGCAGCTGAGCATGTAAACTATCTAAAATGCAACTTGGGTTTTTCCTTTTCCTTCAAAGATATGCTTCACAAGACCAGTACTGTGAAGATTATTTTCTGAACAAAGAAACACAACAGATAAATTCATCAAGACAGGACATGTTTTAATGCTTTTCTCAAAGTAATGCTGTGCATAAACCTTTTACTAAGTCTTGCTTGAGTAATTATCTAACCAATATTTCTCATTAACACTCATTTCTCAGCAAGATTTTAATAGTTGATAGCTTTAGAAGGGCCGTGTATTAATATGACTTCATTAAGTTTTCAAAATATATTGCAGTACACTTACTGGAATAATATAAAAGTATTCATACATCATTAGGACTAAACAACATGTAGCTAAATAAACGAGGCAAGTCTACTTGGAGAGAGCAGTGGAAAGATCTGATCCAACACTGTTCTTCGGATTGTCTTTAATTCAAACAGAAGGCTGCTAAACTTCTGGAAGAAGTTTCATTGTATTTCTTGATAAAGCTGGAATGATCTGTTTCTGTGCCTTCCATTTCAATTGCAAGACTGAGCTGGGTATAATTTAAGCCTCCAAGGAATGGGCTGCATCTTAAATTCTGACAATGGTTTTTAGAGGCAAAGAAGAGATGGGGTATTAGCCAAGCTGCTGTGGTGCTCTGCACATGCAGATGACACCAGGCAACTCTGAACTAAGGACAGGTGCTGCAACTCTACTATGCAGAGAGCCACAGGTGCAAGCGCATGGGGCTAATGTATGCTTGACAGCCCAGAGCGAGAAGTGAGGAGAGGGCCTGGAAAAGGAAAGGGAGGTCTCTAAAAGACTGTACCGCTCAAAGACTTTGATCTCCAATGAAAGAGGGGTCCTAACCATAATCCATCAGTGTGCTGGGTAGAGTTTTTAATAGAGAAAAAAAGTTCAAAGCAAGAACGAAAAAACGTATCTAGCAGAACCCTAAAAATCTAGACAGAGGGGAAAAAGATGTTTTATCGTTTAGAAAATTCAGGAAAAACACTGAATACAATCGGGCTAAATTTTAGAGATACTCTTTTATGTAACATTACATTTTCTTATCAGAACAAAACTTGGGAGGATAAAAAGCACACGCTTAATTTTTTTTATCTCCAAGAAACAGACACTGGCACAGCTCAGGCTCGGTGGCAGTGTGGCCCAGTGCTGGGGTGGCTTGCTCACCCAAAGTCCAGGCTGGCACCAGCTCCTAGACACTGAGGCAATACAGGGTGAATGGGGATTTTATAAGCATGGCTTCAAGGTGCCAAGTGAGCAGGAAATAAAGGAAAATGTGTATCAAAGTAGAATTGCAAAAATAGTAGAGCTATGACCACTGCATCAGACTTGTATAGAAAGAACCATCAACTGATGAACTTTTCAAAGGACCATTGTTGCAAGAGTCTAAATTATAAACATGTAAAGAGTGATGGTAGAATTTCCATAGAAGGTGCCAGTCCTGTGGTTACCTACTGGGAAAAGTGAAGACTGAGTGAGATGTCTGACAGAAGGAGTTTAATATGAGCTAATTAAGATGCTGGAGATACATTCTGGAAGAAAGGATAATGAGAAAATAAACTGGAAAACGAAATTAGATAAGAAGTAGAAAAAGTCTCTGACAGATTTGGAAGTTGTCACACTTTAATAGCATGTTGTTAATTAAGCAATTTATTGTATCCATTTTACATTTTATTAGCTATTGATTTTTTTGCACCATCATCAAGTTGTGCTGAAGCCTTGTTTAAACTTTTATTTTATGTTTTCAGCTTTCAAAGCAACAGGCCAAACCTTAGAAAACACACTTGCATCCTAGGAAAATAAAAGTAAATAATTAAATTTTAAATGAACTCTTTGGGGGAACCTGACAGAATTTAATATTTGTGTGACTATCAGCACTGAAAGAGTAAGGTAATTGAAGCGAAGATAGGATTAAGTACTGAAAATGAAACAGAATCTACAGTAAAAATTAGTTGGTCAAACTAGTGTTCACTCTAAGCAGAATTTAACATAGGTATTTTCATGATACTCATATTTTGAATAGTTTAGGAATTAAGAACATTATGCGAGAAACTCAGAAGGTGAGCAAAGAACACAGTGAGTGTCTAGCCAGAAGTAGGCAGTTCATTATCCCACGTCACATGCCTTGTCAGGAGTCCCAGGCCAGAATCTCCATGGAATATCTCACTCAGTGACCTGAGCAAGGCCACTGCTGCCCATTTCCTTTTGGTCCAGGCCTTCCTCATCCTTATTCACTGTGCGCTTCTCTCTCTCTCTCCCTCTGTCTTTTATGGCTTGGTCAAAATGTCACTTACTCTGGAAAGCATTCCTAAAACTCATTGTCAGGTTTGCCTCTTACTGTGCTTGCATGCTTGACTCTTCTGTGTTTCATTACACCGAAGAGGCTTCCTCTCTCTGTATTGCTAACTGTGTTCTCAGCACCCTGCATGCTGGAGCCTCAATCAATAAATATTTGTTGACATTTGTTGAGGAAAGGGAATTGAAAGGCAGGAGGAAGGGCTGGCAGATAGGCTCAACAACAAGACTTTCCTACCACAGGGAATCATGCGTTTACTCTTACCTGCCAGAAAGAAATGTGGCTGTCAGTGTTGGAATAGGTGGCAAGATATCGTCCATCAGGCGCAAAGGACACTGCAGTGATTGGTCCCTTGTGTCCATGGATGGTCTACAAGAAAATTCATAGGCCATTAATGGAATGCTTTCCCAAAGCTATCACAAGTACACATATCAATGCGAGTTTAGATATGCTTACATTCTGTGTTTATAAAAATCAAATTAGAAAAAGAAGAAAAGTGACCAAAGTCCTTTCACTATATATCCAAGAGGAGAGGACCTCTTTTCTATTTGGAAGGATAGTATGAGCTCGAAGAAAAAGCAAACCAGCATGTGAGTTCATCAGAGGGAAGAATTTTGAAATTAATTAGAAAAAGTAAGAAACTCATCATCAAAATTATCCAGCAATATTGATTATTTGAAATGAAAATAAATCAAAGCCATATCACATTGTACCTGTCCTAGAAGGAGATAAAGACTATAATTTCAGCTCTTTAATAATCACACATTTTTCACATTTCATGCTTGTTTTCTACCAATAACACTGTGTTTAAGTGTATATAGCCACAACTAGTAAACATATATACAGGCAAACATTGGAAGCTTGGACACATCTATAAATCAAATACTATTAAAAACAAGTTAACAGGAATAGTTTTTGAACCTTTGCCAATAGCTTGCATTGATTTAACCATGAATAATAAAAAGGAAGTTGCATTTTAGGCTATGTCTTTGAAAAAAATGATTCTTAATAACAAAATACACTTAGGCCTGATGATATTAATACATTGCATAAGCAAACTAGCTATTCCAATAATACCCAATATTCAATTGTTACTATGTTAACTAATATCTAGTCTTCTCTCTTTATCTAGAATGGTATGGGAGAAAATGTATGTCATCAAATGGAGACAGTATCCATCTGTAATTTTGTTACCATCTGGAATTTTTGATGAAGAATTGTAAAACCTGAGTCTCTATGCTCAGACTCATGAGATTTGGACCACACATACTGTAAATTCTAGTAAGCTCTTCTTCAAAAATCATATCTTAAGACTAAAATGAGAAAGAACTGTGTGTACATGCATGTGTGTGTGCGTGTGTTTGTGTATGACACACAGAGAGAGAGATTACAAGTATATTTTTCCAAGTCCTTAGCAATCTGTTCTTCCTACCCTCCCCTCCCTCCCTCCCTCCCTCCCTTCCTCCCTCTCTCTTTCCTTCTTTCTTTTCTTTCTTTCTTTCTTTCTTTCTTTCTTTCTTTCTTTCTTTCTTTCTTTCTTTCTTTCTTTCTTTCTTTCTTTCTTTCTTTCTTTCTTT